CTTCTATTCCATGGCTCTGAATGTCATCTGTATGTGAAGGATTTTCAAACACATCTACTGAATCAAGGTCATATATTCAGCTGCCCATTTGACAGATGCCTTATAGGCAGCACAGAATCAACATGAGCCCTTGACTTTTGCCTCATTCCCTTTACCATTGCTCCCTGCCTCAGCCCAAACAAGACAACAAAATTACCCAAAAGTGCTGCCAGTCTTGTTTTTTTGTTTGTTTTTTGGTTTTTGGTTTTTGTTGTTGTTGTTGTTGTTGTTTTTTGCTATTGGATTCAATAAATCTCCATTATCTGTGCACTTACCCAACTCCGCTATTACTGTCTCTTCCAAAGTCACTATCCTCTCTTACCTGGATATGTAAAATATCTGCCTGGTTACTCCTTACAATCCACTGTCAATTCAGCAGCCAAGAGTCATATTTTTAAAATATAAATCATTCTATGATATCTTCCTAATTAAATCTCTCCAGTGGCTTCCCGCCATACTTGGATCCAAATTTTTAACCCTAGCCCACCAAGCCTTGTGTACTCTGGCTCCTAGCCCTGCCTGCCCCTCCAGCCTCTTCCATAAGAGCCCACAACATACATTCTCAAAACCCTGTGAACACTAATCCTCCACTTCAAGGGTCAGCATGAGCTGAGTATTAGGCTCTTGAAAATTATTAAATTCATGCTTTTTGCATGAAATGACAATGACAGTAACCCATTTATCATTAAGATAAAGTACTATGAATAAAAAAAGAAAACATACTCAACCCCTTCTACACAAATGCTTGATTTAGCTCTGTTGAAATAATTTCAGCATTCAGCTAAGTGAGGGAGTTAATGAGTATCTGGCCCTATTTTTATGCCCAAGTTTTATTTTTAGTCATTTATTTCCTTCCCCAAAAGCAGCAGAAATCTTCCACCTTGGATTAAACTGAAGTCACCCAAGTTGCAATCAGCATCCTTACAAAAGGGCTCAAATGTTAGAAGCATCTTGTTCTGGTACGTTTTGGCTGGATTCCAGATGTGGGGGAGAATGGCAAAAAGAGGCAGCCTCTGTAATGGAACATGGCAAAAAGAAATCCAGATGCTAAGACTAATCAGACAGAAGAGAAAATTGAAGCCATTCTACAAGCATAAAACAAAGAGAACGGAACGACTACCCCTGTACCCATCTTGACAGCTACAGACCGCACTGACTGCAGCCATCAGCACTAACTGTGACAACAATGACAAACTTCACTTGTGTTCAGGCCAGACTCTCTAGCCTGCACATCAGTAACACTCAAGACCAGTCCTGGCCTCATAACAGCTGGCCTAAATAGGACCTGAGCCACATCGCAAGCCAATGCTCTTTTTTTTCTTTTTTTTTTTTTTGAAAAACAGGAATGTTTTACATCCCTTGCATTGTGCCAGTTCCCTTCACGAATTCCTTCAGGAAAAGCCGCTTCCAGGGTGCTACAGACTCCTCAGCATTGGTTTTAAATTCAATGCCTCTTCAAAGTGCTCTTGGCTCTGAGCCAATTCATGAAAGTCATAACAAAAGGAAACTCTTTGTAGCATCCTAGGAATTTCTCCTTAGCATCCACTTAGATTTTAATAGGATTGACTTTGTTAAGATGGAACCAAGAACAAAAGAACAATTTTAGTATTACCCACTCTTTACTCAAAAAAACCTCCCCTGATGTTGTACAATGAAAATCCACCCCTTGAGGATACATTGGGTTGAAACTTTGAATCTCTAGGGGTGCTTGGTTTCAGGCTGTTTAGGTTTCTGTTTTGTTGTTTTTGTGGATGGAGGAGTAGGTCTCTGTAACTGGGTTAAGGTGCACACTA